GGGAGGATGTGGAGGAAGAAGAGAAAGAAGGGGGTTGCTTCCTCGTAAAATAATGAAATAATCAAATAAGCAAAATTATTTGCCTCTCTTCACAAAGGGCCCCTCATACCAAGTACACAGCTTACATTTTTTTCCCCTGCAATATTGCTCATCTGTGGTGTTTTATCATTACATTCCCTTCACATACCACTCTTCACTTTTAGATTAATCTGCCAAAATGAGATGCTAAGGATTTGCATACAGATTTGACTACACAAAAATAGATCTGGAATTAATAACAGTCTCTATATGTTTTAATTTCTTCTAGACTGGAGTACCCTTGCCTCCAGCAGTATTCTTGGCTTTGAAAGTCATCAAGCTGATTTGTCTGCTCTTAGGTTATGATGCCACATGCTGCTACACTGTCCCCTGCAATCAAAGTGCTCGCAGAGATAGATTCCATGCCTTCCCCTAACAAGTATATTTTATAGATTGGCAGTTTTGATCTCCCCTCCCCAGGGGGATAATCTGCATCTTAACAGGTTTCTATAGATACATCTGTCATTAAATATGCCATCTTATATCTGCATCAATTTTCAAACTCAAGTTCCTTCTAACTTTGAAGTGCTATAGCGAAAGTTTTAAATTTTCTGCCAAAATTCAAATTTAACAAGTCTGCAATGTCCTCTTGAACTGTTTTTTTTTTATATATATATATAAATACTCCAGGCAGCTGGGAAAGGGCAAAAGAAGAGCAATATGTCTCTTAAAAAATAGGAAAAGGGGGGAAAAAAAGTTTAAATGGTACTAAAAATAATACATACTTTCTCAGAAAAAATTGGGGTAATTCTGAGATAATTTCTTAAACTTCTCTGCAGTGCTTTCTATGAGGAAAGGAGCGGAAAGGCAGGGAGGCATCATAACGACACTTGAAAAGAAATATTTAAAAATACAAACCATGCTATTAAATTTGATGGCAAGCAATAGTAGCTAATGTGGTAGTAACCCATCAAAGAGGAAAAAAAAAAGTCTGGCCAGGTAAATGACAGAAAATGTACAGTTTGGTCAGCGCTCGCTGGGTTTTATAAAGAGAGCGATGATCGCACCGCTGCGAGAGGAGCCGCTTGCTTTGAGGACCGGAATTTCTGGAGGGCAAGGAGCAGCCTCAGGACAAGCTTGTGTCTTGCTCTTACAGACGTGCAAACACACTCATGGAAAGCCCAGCATCCAACCCAGGGGCTTACAATGTTTGTACACTGCCACAGTCACTGTTGCTCAGCCCCTTGCAGGTCATAAATCCTGCTTTTTAAGCCTTCCAAGACCTGCAAGTTCCCAACTGATGTGACAGCGCCCGTCTACATGGGGAAGTTGTTGGAGGATTCCAAGACCTACCTTGTCCAGCCCTTCCCCACAGATGGGAAATATTTTGGGTTGTTACAGCCCCCTCAAACAGTCCACAAACTGCACTGAAAAACACCTTCAATAAAAACACTTCCAAAAAGCAAAGGGTGGGAGGCAGTAGATTCAACACCATTTTCCCAATCGAAAATTTATAATCCATATTTATAACATGTCCCGGTAAGACCCTCATATGACTTGAGAAATCTAATGCAATCCAAATCCCCCAGAAAATCTCACAACTCTCTCCGAAGTCCCCAAGTGCTAGGCTGCGCGCGCGAATCCCAGTTCACTGGGAGACGTGTAAAACTACACGTTGGCAAAGAGCTCCCACATGTATTCCTTCCAGCAAATCCAAGGAATATATAGCAACTCATGACACGCGTCCCAAGGTGCTCTGCTATTTTAAAATAGAAATCTCTCCTCTCTTACGTATCTGTGTGTTAAACACAAGATAACCCTTCCTCAACGTTCAAGCCCACTGCCTTTTCCTTCAGCCAGCCCGGGCGCAGCGAGGAGAGCTGAGCTGGAGTGTGTTCTCCCACCCCGACGAGTACCCTGGAAGATGCCAACAGCAGCCCTAATAAACACTGGTCCACCCTGATGCGATCCAGCTGCAAACAAGAGGGTCACAAGCCCCAGTTTGTTTGAGGGTTGATTGGGTTTTGTTTGGTTTTTTTTAAAAATCACAGAATCGGTTTGGTTGGAAGAGACCTCCGGGATCATCAAGTCCAACCTTTGCCCTAACACCCCCATGTCAACCAGACCATGGCACTAAGTGCCACCTCCAGTCTTTTCTTAAACCCCTCCAGAGCTGATGACTCCACCACCTCCCTGGGCAGCCCATTCCAATGTCTAGGGGGGGAAAAAAAAAATAAATCATTAAAGCTTGATGTTTACATTCAATCTAAGAAGAATCAATGACATCAAACCTATCATGTCCATGCTTGAAAGGTGTGAGATCCATTATCGTTATTC